TATTCTTGTACACATAAGACGCTCAAGACGTGACGGCAACAGTGCGTAATTGAACTGCGGACAGAGACAGACGTATTGATGACCACTTGAGACGTTCGTTGTGAATTATAGCATTTGTTATAGCGCGACTGTGGAAATTAAGTGTATCGCAAAGTTGTATTCAGAAAGAATAAACCTGTTTTATTTAAGAAAGGACTTGTATCGGTAAAGTTTCTTCGGAATGAATTTTTTACGGAAAATTAACTAACTAACGGAGGCATAACAATATATTGTACACAATTGCTTTATTTAGCACAGGTCACTTACCCTGTTTTGCATAGTAGTATTTTTCCGGTATATCAAGGACCATTAAAAAGAAGAAAAACAAATCCTCAAGGCAAGCAGTTAGCGTTCGTTTATGTTGTAATTTACAACAGTTTACATGCTGACATCGTCACAGTTGGCGTCGCAGAAAGGCAGTATAATAACATATTTTATGTCGCACATACACAACGAACTCCAGGTTAATGGTGATGTGGAGTTTAGCGGAAGTAGAGGTATCCTCATAAGCAGTGAACTTTCCACAGTGTAAAGTTATTAGCTTCACTCCAGCAAGTAAGCGAAGGTGTCGCGTAGTCTGTGTCATCATCAACTTTTGTTTATTTATGTCTCCATAATTACGAATTAAACATGTTAAGGGGTATAACACATATTTTGACAGAATTTAACATAATCAAATATTTTTAGTCCTTAAAAAACAGTTACTTTGAAGTTAGATCATCTTGTACTTGATTTCTGATATGGACTTATCTGAAACGCTACCATTATCTTATAAACGAGGCCGGAGTTTAGCAGCGCCATGCATTGCACTAACAAACATAATTGTCTTAGATGTTGTGATAAATAAAAACTAAAAATATATATGTGTATATCAGCGTACGCTTTTATTATTAAACGTAAGTTGTGACCTATAATATTTTGGCTTATTTGATCTTTCAATAAAGAAAGATAAAAGGAGTCCGTATTAATTTTTTACATTTATTTCAATTTTCAAACAGAAGAATTGGTGATCTGTGTTTTTGAAACACTTTTAAAGTCCATACAAAATTGACTTTTGAGGAGTTGTTAAAACTCCAGGGATAATGTACAAGAGACATTACTAAATTGTAACCCAACGAAAAGTTATGTTTCTTTCATAAAGTACAGGATATCCTCTCTAGTGTGTAAATTAGGCCTAAATATTTAAGCAGGTTTGCAGTTTATACTGTTACGTCTCTTGTCGTTTGTTAATTTCCGGTATAAATTCTTCCCGAGGAAGTTCAGCGATACAAGTCCTTTCTTAAATAAAACTAGTTTATTCTTTCTCAATACAACTTTGCAATACACATAATTTCCACAGTCACTTTAACTTAACATATGCTATAATTCACAACGATTCACGCACTTTACTTAATGTCACTACCGCTCGCTTGACTCAATTATCTGTCTATCTGCAATTATATCTCCGCTTTATTTGCCGGGCTTATTACTAAAATAGAGGGCGCATGGAAAAGACTAGAGTTGCCGGAAACAGTCATGATCCTTCTAGAAACTCATGACGTGACTTCCGCTTCGTAACAATACTAACAGTCAGGTATGTATCCTTTTTTGAGTCGTGTAAAGCTAAATCACAATAAACATCCGCACATTCTGTTATTGTTCTCTGTGCTTGATTGTAAATAAACAAAAATGTTTAGCAGTATACAGTACACTGTGTGATTCGAGTTTTCCTTACTTTTCACGGACTTAAACTTTCCCACCCTCCAGTGGCGCAGCGGTATGTCTGCGGACTTACAACGCTAGAATACGGGTTTCTATACCCGTGGTGGGCAGAGCACAGATAGTCCATTGTGTAGCTTTGTGCTTAATTACAAACAAATAATAAACTTTCCCACCATAGAAATCTATCTTAAATTAAACCGCAACCTTGAAGTTTAAATATCAGAATTATTTGTTTAGTTCAGTTAAGATTTTATTTACAGACTACAGGTTGAGAAGAAAACTGCAAATGAGGTGAACCTAATATACTGAAAATTTACTGTTTAGTTTTTTAAATAAATAAATAAAATATGTATATAATGTTGACTTTGAAAATGTTGTTATCTTACATAAATGATATAGAATAAAAAACATTGTTTAATCACTTTCAACTTAAAGTTTAAACTAAAAAGTAAATTAATAATATAATTTTAGAATTTAATAATATTTTTGCAACTGTTTCTGGTTTGGGGCGGATTCTTTTTAATTATTTGGTGTGGTACTCTTGGAGTCATTGAATTCTTTGCAAGTAATGGAATAAGATAACCATATAATAACTGAAGGTGAGTTCGAAGCAAAGAAAGAGACTGGACAGAAGATTAAAACATAGTGAAACAATTTTTATTTTCAACATACAGAGACAAACAAAAGACAAGCGTATTTTGTGGTATGTTATTGCAGACCTCTCAGTGTATTCAAGGCAGATCAGCACCTTTAAATAAAACCAATCCTGTTAACTTGTCCCAAACTGAGAAAACATGGCATTATATACAAAAAACAATAACACCATTTTTATAAGGATGCAGGCACTACCAATATGACTGATGGGCACTCTCACTACAAAACATAAGGTGTTGTATCTCTGGTGTATCACCTGACTTACTGGTGAAAAAATTAACAGATTATTTCTACACAGTATGTTTTACTTTACAGCGATTTTCCAAACAAAAACGTACACGTGACATCTTACTTGACTGACCTAGTTCAACAAATAAATGGCGAGAATAAACTAATGTTTCCCTTGACTGACTTTCTCTGTTAAGAATACTTGCAATATGCAAATAATTTGTGAAAAAACAACAACATATATATCTATGAAGAGGATGGGAAACATATGTTATGTTTACATACCACATTGGTAAAAACGAAGAACGCAAACTAATTAACAAAATCAAACAATATATTATTACTTCAGACGTACTATGATAGCCAATAATAAATAGTCCACTTGAAATGATTCGCTTGATTAATTATCACCCACACTAGCCTAATTTACACTTTATAATTTTCAAATCATTTCCGGAAACTCGTAAAAGGTTGTGGTCATTGAGCTAAGGTCATCTCGTGATGTCAAACCTCCCTTTGGCAAAATAAAAATACTGTTACGTATCTGCTGGTTTGTTAATTTCCGGTAGAAATTCTTACCGAGGAACTTCAGCAATACAAGTCCTTTCTTGATTAAACCAGTTTATTCTTTCTCGATACCAACTTTTAGTACACAGTAATTCCACTGTCAGTACGTTTCTCGTCACTTTAAACTTAACAACTTTTATAATACACGCTATAAACCACGGCGATTCACAATCTCGATAACTTCGTCTGAAACTTATCATGACTACTGTTCGCTTTATCATACACATACATTCATATCCGTAGGCTTTCACTGCCAGGCTTATATACTGTTATGCCTCTGGTCGTTAGTTTGTTTCCCGTAAAATTTCTTTCGGACGAAACTTTAGCGATACAAGTCTTTTCTTAAATAAAACGGGTTTATTCTTTCTGAATACAACTTTGCAATACACTTAATTTCCACAGTCGCGCTATAACAAACGCTATAATTCACAACGAACGTCTCACGTGCTCGACTCAACTGTCAATTATATAGTGTTGCCGTCATTTCCTGGCGGCTTAGATATACAAGACTACCTCATATCTAATAGCCTTTCGAGACTTCAGGAAGGGACGTGAACGTTCGAGAATATGACGCGTTACTAGAGTCACGTGACCCCCGCTGTCGTAACAATACTAACAAAGAGGCATCTCTCGATCACACTCGAGCTTTCCTGAAAATTCGAGAAACTCAGTCACGCATGCTCCCAGCGTCACGTGACTTCCACTATCGTAAGAATACAACATCTAAACTAAAAATTAGCTTAAAATTGATAATATCTAACAATTTATGCATAACGTTTTGCTGCTTAAAAATACTTCTACACGGTAATAGATAACGTTGCTGTTTAATTTATTTTTTCTTTCTTCGAATTTTGATATATAACAATAAAATGTATACTTTTTCATATAAACGTTAAAGGTGGAATTAAGATAAATTGTGATTTTTAAGTGGACGTTCAATTATTTTTCGTTAAGTAATGTGTAAGAACCCATGCACCAACGAAGGAACAACGTTACAACAATATGAAATTGATCTAAACTAAGATCATAAATTTCATACCAAATTCCTATTCAAGTATTATTTGCGTCATAATATGATTTTCTTCTTGTGCGTATAGTTGATTATCAAAGTTATAAAGGTTTTCTTCATCATGAAGATATCTAACCTTTGCATGTATGTTCATCAGTGACTAATTACTTTCATTAAAATAAAGCACGAAGCTTTGCTGCTGAGTGTTTAAACCAATTTGGTACAAAACTTGTGAAATATGTTATCGTATTGTTGGAACATAATTTCAGATTGAATGATATTTCACCCATCAAAGCGTAGTTATTTTTATGAGGGCTATGTATTTGGTTTTCAGTTCAACGTCGGATGCTCCCTTTGTTGGTATAAAGTAAGTGCTCTTGTAAAATACAGTAAAACCAAAATATCTTACGCAGACAAAAAGCCACGCCGTAGTAGGATATCAACTACCACTCTGTTCGGCGCAGATTCCAGAGAAATGACTCAAGAGTTTGCCCTAAGCAGAATGACGCATGATAAGAGGTCTAAATTAAAAACAATGAAACTTTTGTGAAATATTTTATTTGCGATGAAAGTGAACAACATGTAATATGATATAGCCTTCATGCGTTGAGTTTGTCGTATGAGAGTGACTGTTGCTATCGTGGTTTTTGTGTGTTAATTTTTATTTGTTATCTTCTGCTGAGCAAGGAAGAAAAAATTAGGAAACGCCTCTTTTCTTTCATGCTATGATTCGCGCTGCGCCGCACGTGCATACCGTACGAACGGAAAGCACTGCGAAGAAAACTGTTCAGTTAATCTCGACACAGTGCTTCCGGTGTCACTCTAACGTGACGCTATGTAATGTTTGTTTGCTCTTGGTGATTCATGTAGATATGTTAGATTCACATAGTAATAATTCAATATTTATACCAATCCATGACATTTTTGTAACAGAAATCTACTAACTTTTTTTACAACAGTTTATAAATTGAAGTAAACATATTTTACACCCTATTCGCAAAATTATGTGGTGCTGTAGTGAAGTAAGGTGGGTGTGATAGGAACGCTCTCTGCTTCAAGTTCTATTGAAGAAAAACGTGAATGCCTTAGATTTTAGAAACAACGAGTGTATCTTTGTAAGTTATTCATATACTGATATAGCACGTGAGGGTAAGTTGACGATACAGGATCGCGAGATATTGACTTTGCTTTCTTCGTGATTTAGCCTACAGAATTAGTTTTGAGTTTAAAAAATGAAACAAATAACCAGCATAAAAATTAAAAAGTTATCTAAAATTCGTAGTTTAACTTTAAGTAACTTTTAGGTTTTAACAGAACTCGGAAGTATGATACTGATACTATCTGTGATAGAAAATGTTTAACTTTAAAAGTTTAATAGTTTAAGAATATACAATAAATAGTTAGACAGTGTCGTCTAAAATTCTTCCACAAAACTAACTTACTGAGTTACTTGTTTCAAAGTTCTTTAGCATTTTCCTGGTACTCTTCGCAAATAAGCCACATTAACTTGATGTTGATTTATATTTATAATCCATTCTTAAAGTACAGAGGAACTTACGTAGAACAACTTAAGCGAGGAAAATTAACTTAAATTTGCTTAAGTAATATTTGCAAAAACTGAAAAAGGGTATCAAATGATGAATTATTGTGACTCACCTTCTTTTTTTTTATATTAGCTTGTTCAATGTAGTGTTTTTCGAAACAGGACCTGTATTGGTAAAAACCTTAATTTTTTTACACTTATATTGAACTTGAAGGTTTAGGTTTAGTATTTATATTCAGTTCTTTGATATTTATGTTTAGACCATTTAATAATGATATTCACATATAACTATATAATATTTGTAGTTAATATTATGTACTTCATCTGTCATTTCCATGACCTTAATGAAATTAATACAACAGTCTCTCCTATTGTCCTTCATAGATTTATGCAAGTATAAGCTTCATTTTAAAAAAATCAGATATATGGGAATGATTGATAGGAATAACATGTATATCGCCAGTGATTTGGGTTCAGAAGTAATTTTTAACTCAAGTGGCAAGTGATTCACTAAACACTGAAAATGAAATAGTTTTGAGCTTGAGGTGTTTGGAACACAAAACTATTTAATTAATGCCAGACAATAACATACACAATAAAGAATAGGAATAAAAATACATTAATATAAATAGGGTCAAAAATAACATGATACTACAAAAAACTGTATATAAAAAAGAAAATGTTAATTCACATTTTTTAAATACATAGGTGCAGCAGTGTACTAAGAAACACCTGTAGTTATAAGTTAAGGTGTGATTGAATTACAAAAAGACAGCCCATCCAAATAATGGTGCATGAGTTGAAAACTTTAGATAGCTACACATTGTGAAAGATATTAAAAAATTAAATTAATGTAAAACTTCATTAGTATAAATTGCCACAAAATACAACTTAAACTAATCACATTTACTCTTATGATAAACTGAACTCTAGAATGTTACCACAGCATTTTCATGGTACCACTTTATCAGTTAAATACATTAAGCTGTACATGTAGAGATGCAAGCTCTTTACACTTAGTTATATATTTTTTTAGGTGTCACCTGTTTAAAGTATTTACTCACTGCATTGATTTCACAGACATGTCTGTGTTTCATTCAACTGGTTCAACATACATATTGTGGTGTTCCTAGTCAGTCATTAACTTCTGTGACTCATATTAGCTTTGATCTGATATTAATTTTTGTTTAAACAAAATTAATGCTATTTTTAATTTTTCCTAAACCTAGAAGAGACAGATCCAATGCTGTTTTAGTCATTTGTTTTTGAATGGAGCTTGCTTTTCAAAGTAGTTTTACTGTTTTAAAATTTTTCCTTTGCAATGTAGTTTTCAGAATGTTGTTAATCAACTTTAGCTGTTTGAGTATTGCAGTTACGGACAACATTTTGGTCCACAAGAGTTCTGATGAGTGGACACCCTTGAGAAAAAGTAAAAACTTAAACAAACTCTCTTTTTTTCTGTCAGGAAATTATTTATTTTTCTTTTAAACATTTGCAAAATGCTGACAACTCATTCCATTCTGTTAGAAAAATTAAACTTACTTTTTAGCTGTAGCCTAGCCTGTCTTTCCAAATTTTGAACTTGTGTGTTTTCATCCTGTTGTCTTCAGAATACAGCACAAAACAATCAGAGACCTTTATCCAATAAGTCCCCCCCCCCTCTGGTAATCTTGTGAACTTCAGTAAAGTCATTTCTTACCCCCCTTTTTTTGGAGAGAAAATAAGTTTAGAGATCTTAACCTATCCTTATAAGGTAATTTTCCATTCCTGGGATTATCCTATGTTCACTGGCCCAAATATTAGAAATCTGTACTTATCGAACAGACTGGTCTTCACTTTGTGTTCATATAAACTAAACATGGTAATATGTAAAAAATACTTACATGTTAGAGAAATAAGGTCACCAAGGATCTATAGATACAGTTGGTAAACTCTATGAACATTATTTATCACTATAATGGGAAAGATGAAAAATTTCTCAAGCTGTGAGTGAGGTATTGTTACTGGGATTTAATTGGTGGGTGCTTCATTGCAAGGATGGTCGAGATAACTAACAAATCAAAGACTGTTGCTGAGGTCCATACTACATGGTTGTCAGGTCAAAGAAGAAAGGGAGCTATCAACAATGGACAGAAGGCAAATATCAAGGATTGTTTAGGTTAACAGATGTTCAGTTCTTTATTAACTGACAGATAGCTTTAATAATTGTACAGGAATGTCCACTTCAATCAGAACAATGAGTAGGAGAGTACTGCATGGAAGTTAACTTTGGTAAGTGTATCCCTCCCCCCCATGTAAACCATTTGTTTTGCCAATAATAAAAATTTTCCACTGATGCCTAGATCATCAGGATTAGACTGTTGACCATTGAAAATGTGTCATGTTGTCAGATGAATCATGCTTCACATTGTTCTGATAATGATAATAGAATTAGTGTGTGGCAATAACACAGTGAAGTCATGGACTTATCTTGCATAGTCTCAATTGCACAAGGTTATCAAGGTGGTATAATGTTGGGGGCTAGGGTATGACAAGGGCTAGGCCCCTGGGACTTATAAATAGTCATATCATTGCTTGTGGGTATTAGAACACCTTTACTGACCAGATGAACTGTACAGTGCCCAAATGGAGATGGTTACAACAAGAATGGTAATGCTACCTGCCATAAAGATAAAATCGTTCATAGTCAGTTCAATGAGCATGATACAGACTTCCAACTGTACCCTGGCCTGCACAGTCCACTGACCTTTTCCTCATCAAGAATATAGGAGTTTAACAGGAATGAGTTATCAGGAGACATAATACATTACTGTCAGTTCTACCTAGAACCTATTTTGGAGATCATTTTGATTAAGGAATTGTTAAAGATTAAAACAATTACCTTCCAGACACTAGTGGAATCAATACCACATCATATCAGGCATGTAATCAAGTTGAAATTGTAATTAAATTGTAGTGTTAAATATTTTGGTCAGTGAATATAGTAAACCTTCTCTGAACTGTTTTTATTATTCAATATCATTTCTTTGATAAGAAGACCAAAACTGTAACTATAGTGAGAAATAACAAATTTAGCATTATTTCTTCCTTCAGATGCTGACATCTGTTTGCATGTGATGATGACATGACATTTATTGTCATATCATTGCATTATACACAAATAACTTTGTTAATAATAACTTACAAACTTCCTTCTTGCATTTTGTCTAATTATCCAAAGCTTTTTTAAAATCAAACTATACCAAGTTACAGGCATCTTTTCCATCATCTAAATAAAAAATAACATGACATATAATATATAACCTGTTGGTCCTTCTAGGTTGTCCTATCTACTAAATTAAACTAAACCTTAAAAAAACAAAATGCTTCTAAGCTAGCCTTTATCATTTAAGTGTTAAACACTCTTAAATTAACTGCATCCACCATATATTTAAAGGCACTATCAATTCCCTGAAAGGTCTCCAACACCTCAGTCACATCCCCTTTAACTCTTCTTTTTTTTTTTAAAGATAAAACAAATACAGAGATCTATCCTTGCAAGACAAACATTCCATCCCATGTATCATCCTAGTAGCTTTCTTCTGAACCCTTTCCAACAATTCAATGTCCTTTCTAAGACAAGTAGCCCAAGCCTGAACGTGGTACTCCATATGTGACCTAACCAATGACTTATACAATGACATCATAGCATCTTTAAACTTGTATTCATTATTTCTGTGGATACAAGCAAAAATCCTATTTGCCCTGTCACTAGCAACAGCACATTGCTTGGATGGCTTAAGAGACTGATAAACCAGAACATAAGGAGTTTTTTTTTTCCATAACACTGTTAAGGTTATTGCAATCAAAATTATGCTCATAATTAAAAGTGTGATATCTTACATGCATTACCTTGCATTTATTATAATTAAAAGCCATTTGCCATTTATTTGCCCAAATCACCAAATAATCCAAATCCTTGTTTAAAGCATTAACATCCACCTCACAGCCAGCAACACCCAGAACTTTAATGTCATCAGTAAATTTAACTAATATATTAATTAATCCTATATCTTTGCCACTGGTGTAAATCATAAAGAGCAAAGGTCCTAATAATGAGCCCTGGTATCCCAATCATGACATTAATCATGTTTGACTGAATTCCATTTATAAAAACTCTTTTATTTCTTCTGTCTATTAATTTTTCTATCCAATGAGTTAACCTATCTCCCACACCTACAGTAACATTTTTAACAAACCTTTTATGTGGTACCTTGATGCACACTTTCTGGAAATCCAGCTACACCACATCTACACCTGTACTCTTATTGCAGATATCTCTTTTAAAATCTGTCAAAAGATTAGTAAGGTAAGAGTTTTCTCCTAGTGAAACCATGCTTACTATCCAATGAAATTTTAAAGTTTATTAAATGACTTAGTAAAACATCTTTTATCAGACTTTCAAAAACATTTCCCACCAGTGATGTAAGACTAACAGGTCTGTAATTACTGGGACAATTTTTATTACCTCCCTTTAACAAAGGAGTAACATTGGCCATTGTTCAATCTTCTGGCACCTGATCACAATTCATGGATTTAGAAAACAGTAATAGCAAATGGCACACAG